ATACCAGAAATTTCAGTAAAAAATATCAGCAAATTTTTTTACTAGACGCGATTTTCTTTGAACAGTAGGGTTCTTTTAAGCGCTAATTTCTCACGAAATATTTACCATCAATGAAATCGGAATATTTCGTATTATTGCCGAATGATATCTGTTGCTTTTTGCAAAGTTTCGCAGCCATGACGTTAAAAACCAAAAAGTTATCACCGAAAATTTGTCACAGCAAAATGCTCTTGTATTAATTACGGAGCCACCTTAAATTTATTCTGGGGCAGGGTTTTTGTCCACTGAAAATAAAAATTACTCAATTTCCTTATGGATTCCGTGTTAATTTCTTTTTTTGTTTTATTTAGTATTCTCCTATTTTTTTTTCTTTTTGTCTGATGCTTTGTTATTTCACAAGCAGAGCAAATGAAGAAATTTTCTCCAAGTACGATATTACCGATTATTTCTCCATTTCAGTTCAACTAAAAACTATTGTTTATTTGTTGTTCACTTATTTACTAGGTGAATGATAAGATTTCCACCCACACTGACTGTGGTTGTGCTGATTTAAAAGATAAAGTTTTAGAGGTAACATTACCAGTGTTTGCAAGTAAAGCTCACCTAAAAATTCTGCCGTAAGAAAACTGCGAATTGCCATCCGGGGTATAAAATAGTTACTATTTGTTTCCATTTAGCCATTGGACTCCTTCCCGGCTTGCAAAGCATTTCTAACGAATACCTGCAAACGAATTCTTACAGTGGGAATGTTCAATTTAAGAACGCTACGGAGCAGTATTTTTCTTTGATGCTGTTTATATTGCTGTGTGCTTTACTGATGGTCTGGAGAGAATCAACGGAGGTGAACTATAAAGTGGTGGTAATATGCCGCATGTGAAATATGTTACGTATCAGTAAAATACCTTTGCCGGGTAAAGCCGAGTCAGATTTCTTAGATGATGTTGAAACAACTATGTCAGCTTTAGGCGAGCAAATGTTAGTTAAGCAGTCTTTCGAAGCGACAATGACTGTTTCATCAAGAGTTCAAGCTGTAATCAGGTTCCTCCAGGTCGTTCTGTCCTTTGCCCGCTGCCTCCAAGAATCTACTAAAATGTTCTTCCGCTTCAGGTTTCTTTTCACGAGCAAATGTAGTGAAGGAGTATTAGTAAGGAGTGGACAATTGATCCATTCGATCGATCTGTCTGTGTGCTGTAACTTTTCTTTACCTATTAATTTACATGTGTTTGCGATCAGTTTACGGAAAAAATCCGGACAAGTATGAAACGCGGAGTAAGAGAGTCAGTTGCTCGCAAGCTCTAAAGTCTGAGAAGCACGTGTATTTAATCGACTGACCAAGAAGATAGATAAGAACCACCTCGTACCGCATAAACAGTATAGGGTGGTTCTAACTCTATATGGCCAGTGGATAAAATACCGTGAAAATGTTAGGCTTTGAATTACAGAATAATTCAAAGTAAATTACGTTTTTTAAACAAAAACTGTATCTTGGACTTTTATTTTCAAGTGCAGTTTTGAAAAATTTTTAAAGGTTATTTTGTCTTTTTTTTTTCAGATGCTCTACACTTCGTTTATTGCTAATGATCCAGAAGTATCTGACCTCAGTGGTCAAGATAAAGCAAGAACTGAGGTTATTACTGTACATAATGATATTTAAGGGTGGTACGTGAAATCAGAAATCATGTTTTGACAACGGATGTAAAATCAAAAGACCGAGATATGTCACGCTATTTAGTCATCAAGAACCGTGGCCACTCGAGTTAAATGAATCATGAAAATAGTTGCTTCGAACAGTGAAGAAATACTTGATAAACAAGGCAAATACGAAAAAAATTTGCGGATAGCCGAAACACGGGCGATTAGCGCTAACCCAGGGTTAAATTTTAATCCCTGTTTCTTTTTCTTGTGTTCAAAAAAATTTTCTCGGATATTTTTCTTTATTTCTTTTCAGAACATTCAGTCACTAAATTGAAGACAAAAAGAATTAAACTCAATTTGCTTTGTATGCTTTTATATCTGATTTCAAATTTTGCACTAACCCTAGGTTATCTTAACCCTGCTTTGAACAACTCGGCCCTCTATAGCCCGTGGACACAGACGTATTTCCGGTCGTCGCTTCTCTCCACCCGAAAAGTTAGAATTTAAGCTAAGTTCCCCATGTTTCTTCTTTTTAGAGTTAACGAAAATGTTTTCGATTTCAGCACACTCCTGCCTAAACTCAAAGGTTAAAATTCTGCCTAATTATCAGTAAGAGAAGATTTGCAGGGGACTGAAAAATATTTTTTTTTCTCCTCAGGACTGTAAACTGCGAGAAAATTCAGCCGCCGATGGCGAGGACACTTTCAGTTTTGAACAGAAGTGGTTTAGTAATTTACTGTCTGACATGCTGAGTGAAAAAAGCTAACGCTTTCTCCAGTGACGGCGAAATTTTATTTTTCATTTTGTTTCACATTGATATCTTAACACCTACGAATAGTAATGGTCGCTTTGTAATACAACAGTGCTATCTAACAAAGATGAATAAAATCAAATATAATATTTTTCAAGCTCTTTGGTGCTAACAACAATGTACGTTATACTGAAACAATTATTTGTAAGTTTGTTGCTTTTTCTATAGGAATAGACCTTTGTCACGCGAAGGCCAGTTTTTTTAAAACATATTTTAATACATGTTTGCCCCAAGAGCTCACTGAAGAACTCATCGTGAGGGCTTACACCTACACTTAACATACAACATGCATATGACATCACGAGTAAATAATGCCTTTAAGATAAAAAAAACAAAAGCGTTTGGACTCTTTAATAAATTGTTGAGCGTAAAAAAATAATTCAACGTTTTCTTCTGTTGATAAATGAGAGGAGCCAAATAAGAAAAAATTCACCTCTTGAGAGTCAGAGTATCTCGACCATTCGTTAGAAAAACACGAGCATGCAGCAGCAGAAAGCGATTTTTTTTTCTTGGAGAAGCATATTTAGGACAATGTAAAAAAAAAATGAGATTTTGTCTCTTTGCCAAAACCACAACTACAAATAGGAGAAGATAAAACTGCAGTTTTAAAGAGGTAATAAAATAACGCACAAGAATCTAATCGAAATCGGGAATGAATTATGGAACAATATCTATCGAGTGAATAATCAAAAGTAGACTGTTCACAGTCCTCTATTTTTCCGCAAGATCATCGAGATCGAGCGCTTTGTGTTACGGGCTGCCATCTTGCATGAGTGTCAAAACTACTTAGGGGGTGGGGGCGGTTTGGGAGGAAGCTATAATCCCCCACGTCCGCCCCCTCGGTACATTTGAAAATCAAGATACTCGTCACGGTATTAAAGACGCGGTATATCTAAACGATCTCACGAAAAAATAGGGGACTGTAAACAGTCTAAATCAAAAGGTAAAAAACAACACTAATCATATAATAATTGGCTAACATTCTCTTGAAAGTTAAGAGCCGAATGCGTCGCATAAACGAAAAATAAGTAAATAGGAAAAAGAAGTAAATTTTGAGCGGAACGTAAAGGAAAGTGGGTTCTTTCATAAACGCTTGTGGGAAGGAGGTGGGTGAGATAAGATGGAGTCAGATTATTAACAATTTATAATATGTCACCTTGTGGATAATTCGTCTGACGGCTGTTTTGTTTCAGGAGGTTTAAAAAGCTTTGTTTATGCACGGCTAACCTCGTTCTAGAAAGGTCTATAGGGACCCGGGCGGTCCTAGACTGCAAAACAGTCGGTTTTTTTCTGAAAATAAGTAAAGAAATCGGTAAAGCGTGGCGTAAGAGTCTTACGCGCGCGAAGCGCGCGAGCCTCACACGCCCGTAGGGTGTGTGAGGCGAGAGAAAAAAAACCGACTGTCCGTTTTCCATACAATGAGTTCGTTCCGACCAGGGGGTTCAAAAATGTCGTCGAGCTGTCAAAAATCTGTTCGCAACTCCGCCCTCTTTGTGAATTTGATAGACTCGCGTGTTATTATTGACGCTGTAATCCAGTGAAATGTAGTATATATAGTGGAGGATCAAAAATTAATGAAAGTGTAGTACGACAACAAAGCCTGTGCCTGCTCCTCGAAGAGGGAGAATGGCGAAAGAGCCGAGGGCTTTGGACAAATTGTAGAATGTGCGGCTGTTGTTTCAAAACACAGTTCGGCAATTTTACGAATGGATGGATAAGCTCGGAAAATGCGTTTGTTGCGCCTACCAGAAAAGGGGAGACGTTACCAAAGTGGGCCGACCTACTGAAAAACGAACTTTTCGTTGTCCTCGAGGAAGGAGAATCTTTCTCCACAAGAGCAGTTTGCTCTCCGTGCGGAACAACGGTTAGAAACTGCCCCGGGAAACCGCACGGCGATGCTTTCGCAAATTAGAGAAGAACTGAACACGCCAACTGACAATGAACAATTATTGCGATTGAAAAGAATGAGTAAATCCCCTCATTCCAAACCAGGTCTTGGTGATTTAGCTCTGTAAATTATTATCTGTGAGAATTTAAAATCCTGCCAAAAACGCTAACGAGCTAGGCCCAGCGTGACAAAACATTGCAGGAAAAAGTCACATTCACGGACACAAAGAAAATCGCTTAAAATTATTCAAATCCAGGAGGCACTTTGAAGAAATAAAACAACCTAAAACCCTTAATCAGCCGCAATGAAGAGCTTTACATTTCTAAAGGGGCCAAGAAAGAAAATGCTCTTGCGTCAGAGGGCAAATCATGCCTACCAGAGAAAATCAATACGCGTGTCACGACCTCTCAGTATGAAATATATTTAATAAGCGGCCAAAATTCACATTTGCTCAGTCAAAACGTTTTTCTCCAAAGCATAATCTACTCGACAGAGAAAACAATTCATTGGAACAAGCGGCATGTTTGCATGAGGTAAAAGTCGTGTGTTTCCTACCGATCCCGCTTTTTTAGCCAGGCGAGATAACAATGACGGTCGGCCGTTGGACGGAACTTGAAGAACCCTTTGCATGAACAAACATCCGATAAATAAGGCTTTTGTCAAATCCTGTTGGTAGAACACAGAAAACATCCTTTCCCTTGAGTAGCAACTCCAAAGCTTCCCTCTGCTCCGATTTTAAAACAAATCCCAATTCTTGCCAGCAAATCCAGACGATCAACATCTGTCATTTTAGAGAGAAAGCTTTAGCAATTCATCACGGTATGGAACAACGTGAATGACTTGTTGAAAACATTACTTGACAGCTTGGTGACAGCTTGCATGGAAATTTAGCCAATGGGAATTGCCCGTGGCTGGGAGAAGCGGGTAATTCGAACGAATATAACGTATGCAAAACGGACAGTCCGTATTTTTAGCGTCTCTCCCCAGTCTCGCTCTCTGTTTTCAGCCTCATTCCAGACCTTTTGTTTGACTGCTCGCGCGTACTTGAATACGAAAAAATACGGACTGTTTTGCAGTCTATATGGTTGTCATATGGGCTAAAATCTCGGAGACAAATTGCCCCGAAATGCTAGTTTTTGGCAAGTAGGCCTCTTGGATGTTGCTCTTTTCAGAAGGTATTGACAAATCCCATAATTTCACAAATTGACACCTTACTATTCCTCCGCATTAACAATTAATTTTACAACCACGACGCCGAAGTGTAGGCTCCATAGCGTCTTGTTTTCTCGACCACTGAAGTAACAAGACGCTGTGGGAGCGTATGTTTGGGCGTCGATGTACTACGCGTACGGAAAGTTTTTTATGTGTGTTAAGGATGTGTGAGTAGTGCAGTGCAGTGGCGTTGTATATTTTCGGGGTTGGTGGAGATGCGTGAAGTGGAAGGCGTGGAGTTATACTGGACGTGAATTGGTAAGATAATGGCTGTAGTTTGTTAATCAGTGAAACCTGTTTCTCGTAGAATTAATATAAAGTAACAAAAATTATTAAAGATGAAAACAACAACAGTCCTCCACAAAAATTATTATTATAATTATTTTGGGAGGTAAAAGTGATTTAAGGTGTTGCAGTGAGGTAGTTGTGGAAGTGCTAATTCGGTTATGAAGGGATAGTGCAGTTACAGTGTGCTGAAATGAAGTGGTGGTTGTGAAAAGTTTATCAATAGTCAAAAACATACTTGTACTTATTTTAAACGTTGCTAGGCTTTCTGTTTAGGATTGTTTTTTGCTTATTTTTGATAATATTTGTATCGAGAGAGCGTGGATACGGCCAAAATTTCATTTAAGATACAGAAGGGGGTATGAAGATGATTAAGGGAGGTCTGAAATTTTGTTTGCGTGCTTGGGGGCTTTGAAAAATCGGTGAGGTCAAGGAGAGGGAGTAAAATCTAGCTGTAGAACTAAGGGCCTGATTATATGAGCCTGGCTGGCTCGCTTTGCAGAGATCCCGGCACCTTAGTTAAACCCAACAAAAATCTACTTAGCGATTATATGACAACCGAGCCAGCCCGGTTAGCTGGGATCCCAGTATTGTGATACCGGGAACCCTGATGGAAATTTTCCAAGTAATCACACTTGACGGGCGGCCCGGCAAATGAACCAAGCGAGAAACAGGACAGCGGGTAACATACTGTTCATGCGCATTGCTTCCCCGGGTCATGTGATAAGGCCCTTACTGTGAGTTGTATTGTCACGCAGTTTGCACGTGGAAGTTTTGGAATTTGCCGCTTTCGTGGTTCGTGAATGAGAGAATGCGACTTAATCTAATTAACCCAGGGCTATTAAAAACAGAATGCTGTTTGCACGTGAAGATGTTGAACTCTGCCCCTTTTACAGTTCGACCGTGAAAGAATGTAACTTGTTCACGAGGTTATTTTTCTCAATAAGATTTTGAGAAATCACCTCCTTTCCGAAAATGTGCAATGAAATTATGCATCATTCAATGTTACCCTTAATTATCTCATGAACGAGATCATGGAATTTTGAGTGACATCTTCTTTGGTACTCAACAACTGAGAGCAAAAATATTGTCAAACTCTTGGCAATAAGCCAAACTATTCACACCGTGTGCTGCGAGGACGATTATTTTCCAAAGGGAAAATTTAAGTTCTTTTAAAATAGTTTGTTTAGCTCGGTGTACCTTGTTTTTAAAAGAGGTTTGTTTTCTATTGCCTATTTGTTTGTCGTGTGTTATCTGTGGGTCGAATGTAACGAAGATAAATGCTGTGTTGTGACACAGCGCGCGACAGATGTTTGCGTCGCTTGGCTTGTTTATTTAGCTTGTTTACGTTCGCACGTATTGCGTGACTATTGCAACTTTGAATCTAAACAAGCGAACACGATTACTCTTTTTGGGCGACGCCCAAATAATAACAAAACATGCAAACAAAATAGGTTTCACGGGTGGTGTGACATGGAGGAGAGGATCCTGGAAACTAGAGCTGAGTCATCTGGGTCGGTGCTTTACAATACGTAAACCGATTCTCTGGTTGCCTCAAACCAGGTGCAATATGTCCCGTGTTCTCGTAACAGGAGCCTCGGGCTACTTGGCTATGCATGGTGTCAAACAACTAGTCGATTCAGGGGAATACATCGTGCGAGGAACTGTA